GTGTGTGTGTGTGTGTGTGTGTGTGTGTGTATGTGTGTGTGTGTGTGTGAGAGGATCAGATGGTCATAGATTTAGAGCTGGAAGAGACCTCACAGGCCAACTTCCTTATGTAACTGATGAGGAAGCTCTGGCAGAGAGAGAACAAGTGATCTGCCCAAGGTCACAGAGGCAGTAAAGTGTAGAGACAGTGTTTGAATTCAGATTTAGGGCTTTCCCCACTGTTTATCACTTCCCTTGCATGACCAAATGAGATGATGTATGAGAAATGTTTAGAAACTATGAAGTATGTCTCAGTCCACTGTGACAGTTTCACAGAAGAATCAGATTGGCCAGTAAATGACTCAAGCATTAAGGCCCATGATGGTGCCCTTTAACCGAGTAAGGTAAGGCTTTGGGCCAAACACAATACACCTAGAGGTAAGAATGTGGGCCATTGAGGGAACTAGAGAAAGATACAACCAGAGAGGTGGTGGTCTTCAGGCTGCAGCAGGTGGAAGAAGGGCTCAGTGAATGATGCCCAGGTGGAGCCTCTTGGGTTTGGTACACCTGGCTTCACCAGTTCTCTGTTCTGTAGGCATTGAGGTATCAAAATGGATAGAGTGCTGGGCTTGGAGTCAGGATGATCTGATTTCTATCATGCCTCAGACACTTAACTGTGTAATCCTGAGGGCAAGTCACTTAACTTTTCTCAGCCTCAGTTTCCTCAACACCTACTTCCCAGGGCTTGTTGTGGGGGTCAAATGAGTTAAGATGTATAGTGCTTTGCAAAGCTTAAAGTGCTACATAAATGTATTAACTAATTGTATTATTTTCTATCCCTTCTCCTGGTTAATACATGAGACAGCTGGGGATTGGCTCTCCCATACCAAGAAGGCCCATTGACACCTCCAAACTAGAGCAACTGTCAACTTCCCACACTAGGGTAGTGAGTAGTGAGCACACACTCCATCGGGGCAGCCCTAGGGGAGATGAGAGTTTCCACAAGTTTTATAGGGAGGTCTCAGTTTGGAGTGTCTGATTGTTTTCCTGTTTCTCATGTCATTGAAAGAAGGCCCTAGATCAGGGGTGGGGAACCTGAGGCTTTGAGGCCATACGTGGTCCTCTAAGTCCTCAAGTGCAGCCCTTTGACTGATTCCAAACTTCACAGAACAAATCCCCTTCATAAAAGGATTTATTCTATAAAACTTGGACTCAGTCAAAGGGCTGCACCCCAAAGATCTAGCAGGCCACAAGTGGCCTCAAGGTCACAGGTTCCTCATCCCTGTTCTAGATATTGGCTAAGAAAAGGCCCTGCTCTAAAAGTATGAGGCATAGAAGTTTCCAAAAAAAGGGAAGGCTGGGGAGGGTGTCATGTGGGAAACAGGGGGAACGTGAAGAGCAGAGACAGCTTGACATAAGAGAGGGTAGGTCCATAAACCAGAGAGTTTGTCTGGACTATCATATGCTCGCTATATGAATGCCAGCAATTGTGATGACATTCCTGAGGCTGCAGTCCCCAGGAAAGTAATTTTCTCCAAGACCTTGGGGAGTGGTTGTAGAAGTGCCCAAGAAGGCAGAGTCTGCCATTTTCTCACTGACCCACTGCCTGATTTCTTTTAGACCTAATGCCTAGTTTACCTTAAACAGAAGTTCATTATCACAGTTGCAATGTTATAATTATAATAATAATAATTATTTAATGTGAAACTTTCCTGGACTCAACATGGAAAAAATCCTAAAGTAGAAATGGCCAGAGAACAAATGGGCATGGTTTTCAGGGTGAGGGCCTGTGTCTCTGCTGCCAGGGAAGGGCAGTCCTAAGCAGCTAGGGAATAAAAGGTGAGTGTTATTTTTAACCTGGGCCTTCTTGATGGAGTTCCCTCCCCCAGTAGGGCACAGGGTGTTGATGATGATTTATTTTTAACGGCCCAGTGTGGAGGAAGCTAGGGCCACAATGCCTATTACCCAACTAGGTCGACAGGTTCAGTTCTCTGGGGCAGGCTGGGCACCCTACATGGGAGGCATGTTGGCGTGGCAGAGCAGAGAACCTATGAGTAAAGACTCATTGTTCCTCTCTCAGGAGGTGAGAAGGGAGGTAGACCAAGGGAGAGATCAGAGATGAGACGGAGCAGGATTGCAGCTGGTGAAATCAGGCGGAGTGAAACCTACCAGAAGTTAGGTGCAGAAGGAGGGAAGGTAGGGGGTTGAGGATAAATATCAGTCCATTAGATACCAGTCCATTAGAGTGGAATAATTGTATCTAGACAAGTTGTATTGTTGGCCAATAATGGTGGCTCCCTGAACAGGATGTCCATGGGCTGAGGCCATAGTGAGACTCCCTCTCTCACAGTCAAGAAGTAGGAAAAGTTAGATTCTTTCAGAAGTCACTGGGCATGAGCCTCTGTCTTCTGTCACCCAAGGAGAGCTCTGAAGCTATTTAGAAATAGTCTTAAGACATAGAGGTGCTGGTGGGTGATTGTCATCTTAGGTCCATTGACTTAGAGTTGGAAGGGACCTCAGAGGTTCCAACTTCTCCTTTTTATAGAAGAGGAAACTCAGGCCTTTTTCCTTAAGAGAAGTTAAATGATTTGCCTAAGGTCAGAGGCAAAATTTGAACCCTCTGACTATAAATTCAGTGCTCTTTTCCCTCTCCCACACTGCCATGATCAGCCAAGAAGGCTGGGAATAGGGCTCCACAGGAGCTACAAGGGTAGGGTTTTGGTTGTGTGTGTGTGTGTGTGTGTGTGTGTGTGTGTGTGCACACGCGCGCATGTGAGCAGCGTGCATACATGCAGATGAGTATGTATGATTCCTGTAGAGGGTAATGGGACATATATCCATTGGCTTTTTGGGGAACCTGTCCTTCCCTCATCCCCCTTTCCCCAGGGTGAATAGAGTTATTGGGTAGCCTTGGTCCCAGCCTCTGGAAGATTAGCTCTAGGTCCTAGAATCAAAGAGATTTGCTTAATTTTTTTCAAGGAAGCTATATCTGTCTGCTCCTCCTTCCTTCTCCTCCATTTCCCCCATTGATTGTTGCATAGAAGGGAAGTCTCCAAGACGGCCAGAGTGGCCATTCCTCTGGGTGAGGGTTAGCTTCTCCAGGTCCCACAGACAGTGAGGAAGAGCAGGAAGGGAAAAGGGCCTGGCGAGGTGCTTCCATCTCAGCTCTGCCTGTCTAGTACTCCACAATCTTATGGGTCACATCTATAAATAGCGTGGTGAGATCAATAGGCCATGAATAGGGGGCATAAATTCCATTCTCTTCACAGTGATCATTCTTGATGGGAACGGGATATGGCACTTAAAAATAACCCCAAATTCTAAACTCCCCTATTTAGTTGGACCCTCTACGTGCCGTCTTCTTCACTTCCCTACCCAGATTTCATAGAATATAAACACTAAAAGAAGCCTTGGGATCATATAGTCCAATCCCCTTGACTCTCTACAATTCTACAGATAAGGACATAAACATATGGGGAGCAAGGCAGCTGGGACTAGAAGCCAGGTGTCCCCTAGTTTTCAGTACAGCGATTCTTCCATACCACACTGTCTCTCACATGATCCCATGCAGATGAGAACTGCTGAATTTCCAGGCTGTAATTTTGTTGTTGTTCAGTTGTTTGCACTCACATCTGACCCTTTCTGACCCCATTTGAGGTTTTCTTAGCAGAGATACTGGAGTGATTTACCATTTCCTTCAGCTCATTTTCCAGATGAGGAAACTGAGGCAAATAAGGTTAAATGACTTGCCCAGGGTCACCCAGCTACTAAGTGTCTGAAGCCAGATTTGAACTCAGAAGATGAGTCTTCCTAACTCCAGGCTTGGCACTCTGTCCACTGTACCACCTAGCTGCCCTGTAATACCTAGCTGTAATTAGCATGGGGTAAAAAGAATTTTGCCCCTGGCTGCTGACATTGAAATGATGGTTATATTTCCTGTTTGGGGCCATTCATGTACTTTGCCTTCCCGAAACTCTGATAGCCCATGCCAAAAATCTATGGGCTGGTACTACCTCTATGGCCCTATCACTGTGGTCCCCTTTTCCCAGAGCCTGCCTTTTTCCCAAATTCTAGCAGGGGTGAGGGCCAGATTTTCTAGGGGACAGAGATGCCCTTTTCCCTGAATGACTGTACCCAATTAGATGGTCTTCTGTACCACCAACACCCTTCACACCCCTAACTCTTTGTCCTAGGTGATTAAAAAAAAATGTCTAGGGTTCTGCTGAATTTCTTCAGGAGGATAACATTTTATCCTAGAGTCTTTTAAGCTCTGATCAATAGGAAGGTTCTTAGAAATTCAGCTGTACCTTTCTTACTGCAATTTTGGATAACTCCCTCTTTCATATTAATAATCATCATAATAATCATAATTCACAATTTTATAGTGCTTTATAAAAGGCTTACAAAGCACTTTCCTCACAATTACTCTGAAAGGCAAGTACTGCAAACTTATTCACAACCACCCTCATCACCTCCGCCCCGCTTCCTTTAATGGATGAAGAAATAGTGGCTGAGAAAGGTTAAGTTACTTGCTTATGGTCACACAGTTAGTATGAACCAAAGTAGGATTCAAACTCTGGTCCCTCTAATGTCTTCCCTCATTCCAGGTCTCTTTCTCTCATACCACACTGCTTCTTTGTCTATCTCTTTGGATTTTGAAGCTTGAGATGGAACACAGGCAGTAATACAGGTTTCAGCCTCTTCTGGCCTGGATCTCTTCTGATGCCTGCTATGTGAACTAGGTGATATTGGAGAAGCTTTGGTGGGGGATATTTTTTTTTAGGTGCTGAGGGGGATAACACTATCTACATTTCTCTAGGTTCCTGCTCTTTCTTCTTAAGTACCAGGCCCACACCCCCACACAAAGCTTCACCCAAAGGTGCCGCTAAGGTGATAGTTTCAGGCAAAGTCTCTAGTATTCACTGAGTAACTGGGGATCCAGCTGGAGGAGGGGTGGAGGGACAGGTCCAGCTAGTTCTGCCTTGTTGTTTATACATCACATTACCTCATACATCCCAACTACCTTGCTCCCCCGCCCCATTTCTGACGGGGACCAGCCCTTTAGGCCTTTGAACCAGCCTCTTTTTTCCCCTCCTGTACCTGGGACACCAGAGTCCAGTACAACATGGATCCGCTCATCAGCTGAGTTGGGGAGGTTTCATCCCACCTGAAATCATGGAGGGTGACAACCACCCGGTAAGCTAACTCTGGGAAACCTTGTTCAGCTAGTTCCTCCTAGGAGGTGGTTAGATTCCAGGGAGGGTTTGGAAGGAAGGCTCAGGAGAAGCAGAATCATGTGGTTTCATCATTTGCCTTAGATTTCTTTTTCTTTCTTTCTTTCTTTTTCTCTTTCTTTCTTTTGCTTTCTTTCCTTCTTTCCTTTCTTTTTTCCTTCCTTTCTTCCTTCCTCCCTCCCTTCCTCCCTTCTTTCCTTCCTTCCTTTTCTCCCTGCCCTTCTTTTTTTCTTTCTCTCTTCTCTCTCTCTCTCTCTCTCTCTCTCTCTCTCTCTCTCTCTCTCTCTCTCTCTCTCTCTCTCTCTCTCTCTTTGTTTCCTAAATTTTGAATATAGCTTTTTACATGTAATGGCTACTTTGATCAGAGATCTCCATCTCTTTTTTTCTCAGGAAGGAGTTGATGGGGGAGAGAAACCAATGGAGATTTGGGGTTTGGTCAGTGGGAGTAACCAGGCTGGGGTGAGGGGAGGGTCAAGCTCATGCATTTTCTTTAAGTGCTACATACTGACTTTACACCCTGTGGGTGCTTAGTTATTTCCAATTACTTGTCGATCTGTGTTGATTATAACCTTTCTGGGGTTTAGAGACTCATGGATGGGAAAGGACCTTTAGTGAGGATGCCATTCATCTCTGCTTCTAGACATTTAAACCATTTCAGATAGATGTGACTCTTTCATAACTTTTTATAATTTTAAAGGAGGTTTCACGGTCTTCCTTGGCCAACCATTCTCTCACTTAATAATTGTTGCTATTATGATGTTGGGAAGCTCTTTCTCATTTTGCTGTTGTTTAGTAGTTTTTGATCATGTCTGACTCTTTGTGATCCCTTTCGTGATTTTGATACTGGAGTGATTTTTCATTTCCTTCTCCAGCTCATTTTACAGATGAGGAAACTGAGGTCCAGGGAGGTTAAATGATTTGCCCAAAGCCTCACAGTTGGTAATTAGGATTTGAACCCAGGTCCTCTGCCTTCAGTGACCTGTTCCACCAAACCACTTTGCCCTAGGTACTTGAGGCAGTTTTTCAGATTTCAAAATATCTGATATCCTTGTGATTACTCTCTCTACAACCCTCTCTGAGCTTTAGGAGATGATCTTTGAGAATTGTTATAGGAAAAAAAAAACTAACTACTTTACCACCTGATGGTCCACAAACTGGTGACAAAGCTTGCTGGATTTAGTTAGGTAGTAAGCATTTATTAAGCACCTGCTATGTACCAGGTACTTTACAAACTATCTCCTTTAATCTTTATAACAACCTTGTGAAGTATTATCCTTGTTTTATAGGGGAGGAAACGAATGACAGACAGAAGTTAAGTGACATGCCCAGGGTCACAGAGTTCTAAGCGTCTGAGGCTAGATTTGAACTCAGGTCTTCCTCACTCCAGGCCCAGCGCTATGTTCTTTGCACCACCTAGCACAACAAGCACCCCATTAGGCCTGGTCTTTCAGGAACCTTTGAGAACTCTGGATCACCTCCATTCCATAATGAGGCAGTTGAGAAGGTAGAGTGAACCCAAAGGTCTTTGGTAAATGATACCTCAGCCTTCTCTTCTTCAGGTGAAATCATTCCAATTCCTTGACTCTTTTCTCAGAGATATTTTCCCATCCCACTTACTCCTCACATTTCTTTAGTATCTCTTCACTTGTACTGGGACTCTAAAAAAGCCCAAGAAATAGTGATTTTAAAGGGGTCTATTCCAGGGGTGGGGAACCTGTGGCCTACAGGCCACATGTGGCCCTCTAGGTTCTTTTATTAAGGAGATTTGTTCTATGAAGTTGGGATTCAGTCGAAGGGCCTCACTTGAGGACCTAGAGGGCCGCACATGGCCTCGAGATAGTTCCCCACCCCTAGTCTATTCTATGCTTTACTTCTCCTTATGCATGTGGTGTGTATTAGCGCCACTCAGACCAGCCTGAGAAAGCCTGTTGCAAAATTTTTAGTGTGAATATTTAGACCTCCGAAGTGGTCAATCTCTATATAAGTCAAGTCTTGATTTATTGTTTTGTTGATTTTCTAGATTTAAAAAAGTGTTAATAATACAGATTAAACTTAAAAGGGTGTGTTCATACATACCTTCCCCAAGCCTGGGTATTAAACATTTACCAGAGCACCCCTGTATTGTTCTATAAGCCTTGCTTGAGCTCAATGAAGTGCAGTAGAAGGCTCAGAGAATGAAGTCATCACCAGACTAGAGGCTAATAATAATAATAATAATGATAGGCATTTATGTAGCACTTTAAGTTTTATGAAGTGCTTTATATCCATTATCTCATTTGAGCCTCACAACACCCATGGTTACAGAGGTACGAAGCTGATTTGGAGTGGGGCTTGCTATTCACTCTGACTCCCAGATCCTTTTCTACCAGACTTGTCACTCTTCTATCCTTCCCTTTAGTTTCTCTGGCTACATTCCCCCTCTCCCCCTCCCCCCCTACTCTGGGTAGGCACCTCCTTGTCCATAATGAATTGTGTTCTGTTTACTTTTGTCTTCTCCAGGTTGCTAAATTCATCTTGGAGTCCCACTTAGTTGAATGAGTGGAACTTGCTAATCGCTTGTCAATAGGTGAGAAAGGGGCAGGCCTGAGGTGTAGGAGAGCTGGACTTGGAGGCTTCATGACACATGGTTGCTTGGTGAGAGTGACCTTGGGTCAACATTTGCTAAGGACACTCATTTCCAACATGTAAGAGCTGAGAGTGGGATTGTTCTTGTTGGTAGAAAAGTGGTGACTAGTGAACAATTAATTCCTAGGTGCCCCATGATGTGGCATGGCAGGTGCCACATAGGCCCCTGAGTGGCAAACTTTCACTCTTGAGGTGAGCAATTTTAATTCCCTCCTCTGTGGTCTCTGAGTTCATCCCTTTGTTTGGCGTGGCACCTCTCCATCGGATATTGTTCCAGGGTGCTTGCAGGCTGGGCTCTTTAAAACCTTTGGAAGGCACAGTCTGGAGGCTCATGCTGGTGAGGTAGGGGTTGAGGAAGAACAGAGATGACCCATCGACTTTAAGTTTTACGTGCCGTGGTGTCCTACTAGTAACAGAAGAACAGTCATAGGTGTTCACTCTGACAGCATGCGAGCTGGTGGCTTAAAAAGATTGTTGTCCATTCATGATGGCCATTCATTACATTTTCACTAGAGCCTCCAGGGATAGTGTGGAAGAGGAGATGGGATGGCTTCCCTTCTATATCCAAGGAAGGAAAACAGGACATTTCAAATGTCAAAGAATTGGATTATTGGCCTTTCAAAGATAATCATTTTAGAGTTGAAAGGGATCTTAGTTCAACCCCCTCATTTTACAGATAAGGAAGCTGAGACCAGAGGCGTTATACACTTGCTCCAGGCCACACAAATAGTGGGTGACAGAACCAGAATATGAATGTATCTCTTCGGACTCCAAAGCTAGGGCCCTTCCACTGCACAGTGGAAACTTCCACTCATAGAATAGATTTTCTTTTGATGGTCTTTTTGTCATCTTTCATTTTACTGATGAGGAAACTGAGACCTAGAGAAGCCTTAAGTGGTCTGTTGAAGGTCAGGCAGGTAGTAAGGGAAAAAATGTAAAACAGTCTGCAAATTGAGTTTTTGCAAGTAAAATATAATTTAATACATGAAGTGAACTTGATATTCAAACAAACTGTTGCAGACAATTTTGTTAAGCAAAGAATTCTTTTGTAAAGTGAATATTTTGACTCCTTGATGTACCTATAGTCAAGACATTTATTGAGCACCTACTTTGGGCCAGGCCCAGTGTTAAATGTTGAGAATAAAAATATGAAAAAAAAAGACAGTCCCTGCTTTCAAGCAGCTTACAATTTAATGAGTAAAGATAAAACACAAAAGGAAACTGAAAAGGGGGAGGAGAAGGTACCTTACGAGGTGGCATGGTGGAGAAATCCAAGAAGTCCTTATATAGTGCAGTCAGGTGAGAAATGTGTTGTTTGACTTGAGCGCCCTACTTAAATGGGAGTTTTAGTGTTCATGGCTCCACTCTCCAATCAGAGGAGGAGAAGGTAGTGATGAGGTATGAGGACCAAGGCTGATTTGATCTTGCAGGATGATGGGGTTTCCCAATGATGACATTCCTGGGCATGGTGGAGAAGTGGGTCAGAGGAGTCCCAAAGTAGTGCAGCTAGGTGGGCAGGAAATGATCCATGAACTGGGTTCTGGCTCCATCACTTTAGGCTCCAACCTGCCTACACTTCTTCATCCTGTACTGTCCTTAATTCTTGTCCACATCCTTCCACAGGTGCACTTTGTGAGATATGCCCAAGGTGTTGGTGGCCTTCCTCTAGTTCTTCCAATATCAGAGTCGGGGGTGCAGTGTAAGATTAGGGATGTTGCCTTATCTTTCTCACTCCCCTTCATGGCTGACCAGCCTCCATTTCCCAATATATGTGACCTTGGTGATGAATTTGATGTCTCTTCTCATACCCAGCTAACAGCATCCGTATACTTACCATTTATCTTACCACTGCTTTTTGGGCCTTCTTTAGGTTGAATTCCTGCTTAAAGAATGATCACCCCATGAATTCACATGCTTTCAAAATTTAGTTTTTCTTATATCAAGCACTCTTAGAACAAGACCTTCTTCAAACATCACCTTAAAACAGCCAGGTTTTATTAGGGTCTATTTTGAGCCGAATAACGCTAAGACTCTAGGCCTGTGGGGATAGCTGAAGACACCCTCCCAAGACCAGGCCTGGCACGCCACCAAGCTGTCAGACCATCAGATAGAAAACCCTTGGTCTAAGCCTGCTGCTGTGGTTCCCTCCCTCCTCTCCACTTCCCCCAGAGTAATAGTGAATGTTTATATAGCGCTTCAAGGTTTGCAGAGAGCTTTACGTATAATCTCTGTTGATCCTCAAGTCAGCACTATGAAGTGGAAATCTAGACTTGATGTCAGGAAAAAACTTCTATTGATGACAGCTTTTGGCGCTATCCAAAATGGCCTTTCTCAGGA